CACTCTTCCATTTTATATATGTTGACAAATTGATCACAAACTCATTGAATATCGCCATCAACAGAATCCAGGCTTTTTCCACAGTGTTACGCGTTGTCCAAAACGTGTATCTTCTTCCAGAAGCCCCATCCAATCCCTACTCTGAAGGTATCATCAGCATGATGACAGCAATAGACTATTTACTTTCTTGATGGTAAAATTTTTAAATTACACTTATTAAGTAAGCAAAAAAAAAAAAAATAAATAAATAAAAAAAAAATAGTAAATTTCCTTTTAATATTCAGTTCGAGAATTTAATTTACCTTCACAGCTATTAACACCATCACCTTTAAGTCCTGGAGGGCATTGACATTTTCCCCCCTCAGTATCCTGTTAGAAAAATATCGAAAAATGACTATAAAGTCCTTTCAGCTTTTGGATTTATAACAACATAAAATGTTCAAAAATTAACAATGGCTACCCACACAAGCTGTGTAAGTTATCCCGTTCCTCTTATCATGCCAACAGCCTCCATTGCTTATTTTGCAGCGCCCGGGCCCACTTGCTGCATGTAAAAAGGATTTTTTTTTTTCGATTTATATTGGCTAATCAAAGATTTATAGGAGAATGTGAATTAATTACATACCAACACAAGAACTGTAACCATCTCCCTTAAACTGAACACCGTTGACTAAAGGGCATTCACAAACTCGTCCTCTAAAAGTATCCTGAAAATGCACAAAAAAAGATGTAAAAGACAAATATAACCTTCAAACAAACTGTGAATTAAAGTAAACCACCTTGCAAGCTGAAAGGAAAATATATATATATATATAAAGCAAAAAAAAAAAAAATCCACCTTGCAAGCTGTGATATTAGCAATCTTGTTTTCCCAACAGCCACCGTTATTGTTCAAGCACTCGTTTGTCTGCACATCTATACTCAAAACGTTCATGCTACTCCACCATAGAAATAAATCGGAAAATAAAAATAAAAATAAATCAAATTAGCACATACCATCGCCCAAACAAACTGATGGCTCGGTAGTTTCCTCAAAACCAGCACATATAGCCTTCAAGACAGCACCTTTCTCCAATTTCCCTACGAAACAAGAACACCACAATCAGAGGCAAATCATATTTTAACATGCTTTCTATTTGAATTTGACACATAATAAATAATTAACCAACAGACCTCGATATTGATGATTATTCACGACAAGGGTTGGTAAAATCGTTACATCTCCACGCGAACCTTTCCCAATCTACACATTTTTTTCTCTTTCAGTCACTTTACATGATTATTCAAAACAAAAACAAAAAAAATAAAAAAATAATAATAAAAAAGAAACGCACCTGAGCATCCTGCTCCTCTTTCAATACAGGATTATCCGAATCAGCATTCGGATCGCCCATACATCTCTCGATTTTCTTCAGATCCAGCCCTGTTACCCAATTCCAACAAACATTAAGGGTGTGTTTGTTTATAGATCTTCTCAATATCATACTCAATCCGTCAATCTATACTCAAAATCTAACTCAACTTTAACCCAAACCCCACTATCGTCAGTATTATCAAAATAATTAAATAATACCAACCAATTATTCTTACACATCATATCAACTTTAATTCACTATTCATCCACTCACATAATTTTAACTAACCATCACTTCACGTCATCTCCCTCCTACTTTTACCTCAAATCAACTTTAATTATTTTATTTTAAATATTATTTTAATATAAACTCCAGATTCCATTAACAACTAACCATACCACCTTATTCAAAATTAAGT